ACTGTGTTCCAGCCACATGAAATGGCCATTTCCATCCTCTCCAAGCCCCATAAAAGCACAAATTTAGATGGTCGTTGACCCACATAGTTAAGTTGTTCCCAAGATGACATCCCACCTTGTAAAGTGTCCTGGCACAGCCAGAGGGTTACCGAGAGCCTGCACAGACCATGCAGGAATGTGAGAGACAAACAGGGCCTGTCGCTATCCTCCAGGGACAACCTGTCAGGGCCTCTACCTCCTCAGTTCTTTGGACAGCAGTGTCTGCTGTTGTCCAAAGTGAGCCCACTGAGCACTGGGTCTGCTTCTTACCATCACTTTAACATCATCTTTCTCCTCAGAAAGCATCTCATGGTGCACGGAAATCCAGAGCGCTATCTGCAGAGGATGGTGACCCCTGCCAACAATGAAGCCCACCAAACCAGTGACCGAGTGTATCCGTCATAACATTCAGGGAGGTTATGCGCTGTAACAAAAAAGCCCCGGAGTCTCTAAGGATTAAAAGCCCAGTGGTGGATTCTACCACCTTCTTTATGTGGGTCTGCTGCAAATGCATATGTTGCCCTTTCCAGGACCCGGCCTGATGAGGACGTCCATCAGCTCAGACATTGTTGGTGTCCGAGATAGGACAGAATGGAACAGGTGTGACAAGCTCACACCTGCTCTTAAACTTTCTAATAGCACATGACATCCATCACTTCCACTCACATTTCATTATCCTAAGTAGGCCATCAGCAGCATCTAAATTCAAGTGAGGAGGAGAAAGGAAAGCCTGTCTCCGTGGAAAATGGTTCTGATGGCTGCCATACACTGTTGCTTCCATACATCACCACAGTAGAGGCTCAGTCGATTGGTATCTGACGGGGACTGAAAAGGAAGAAACATTTGCTTACCCTCGAGGTCAGTTGTGTTATAGGTAGGAAATGAAGTGTGCATAGAGACAGAAAGAAGCACTCACAAGCGCTTCCCGCCAGACAAAGGAGGGCCCTGGGGGAGGATGGGGTTCCGAGTAGATGGAGGGGGCTCGGACTCTATGTAGCACTAGGAAAACAGGAGCAAAGCGAAGGGGTTGGAGGGAGTCAGAAGGCGGTGGTGAGAGGTAGATCAGGAGAGCTACCGAGACTTCTAGAAGGTTCCAACATGCGGATAGGACACACCCTCTTCCTGCAGCTCACCCCCACTTCAGGAGCGTGACTTGGGAGCTTTGAAAGTGACAGCAACATGCTGAGGCTGGTATTAAGGCAAGCAAAAGGCAAGACTGGGGGTTGCCAAGAAGACCCAATTGATGTCTGCAGGCCAAAGTCAAGTTTCGTTTTGTTCCGTTTCCCTAATCTGACTCTAGCTATTCTCTCTCTCTCTCTCTCTCTCTCTCTCTCTCTCT